TCGGAAGCGAGACCCGAAGCAAATGTTTGTTTGGCACACGCCTCCCAACTTCCCCCCTGCGCAGTCTAAACCAAACTGGCAAACCCGTTCTTACGGTACATTTCGGCTATACGCTACCTCAGGCTTTGAGAGCCCGTCTTATCCAAGTGCACACCAGCCGCAGGCCTCTGCCGCCACGGCTTTCGCCCTTGTGACGATTCCGCTTCCATTTGCGTCCTTGGAATGAGGATCCTTCCTGCTACGAGTTTAGGATACGATCTCTTGCTTACGCCAGTCTCAGTTCTGGCATACCTTTGACTCCAAGCCTTGGGAACCCCTGGCAGCCGTTTCGAAGCCCGGGACGTTTATGAACACAACGTTTTGAAAGGTTCGAACGGCACAAGGCTCCGGACGTCTACGGGAACATAAGGCGAACAAGTCCAGATTACTGCACAAACCACGGTCATTCTTCTTGCACTCTAGGTTGGACTCAACATCCCCCCAACCCAAGCTCTAAAGAATTCATGTCAACCTCCGATTACCTCATCTCCTTTATTTAAGGCTCAGGGCCTTCATGTTGGGTTTGTAAACCCTAGGCGCCGAGCCCATCTCCCAGCCGTAAACCCCTGTCCGTAACCGTGTAAACCCATAACGAACTACCCTGAACCCGAAGTGGCCCGAAACAACCGTAAGCTGTCCAAGCCATAATAAACACCTCTGGTTGAGAAACCCAAGGTTCGGATTAGGGCACTTCGCCTGCATATGGATGCGAAGATATTGAAGACTCCGAAACCCCGAGCAGACCCAACTCCAAAATCGCAAACACCCAAGACCTAAAATCATCAAAAGTGGAATCCGTCAAGCCATGCCGGGACGCCGGAACTCATCCACACCGATCTTGCTGGCCTCCGCCTTGGTGATCCTTGGGTTTTTCCAATTCAGCTGGCTTAGGGTTTAGAGTCCTAAACCCTAAAAATTCTTGCTTTAGGGCTTTGACTGGGTTCTAGAGTTTTCTAGGGTTTAAACTAACTAAACCCTCGCGGGGGGTCAACCACTTCAATTTACTTAAACCCTCGCTAAACCGCCCGGCCTCGGAGCCGAGCGAATCAAGAGCCGCGGCGCGTCTGCATACATTCCCAGGCGGGGACCAGGCTTGGGGTTTAGAAACTATAGACCTAAGTTGGGCCCCTAAGCCCCCAGAACCACCCCGCGTGTACCCGAGAAGCCCTCCTTTTTTTGCAGCAGGCCTCGTTGTCCAGCCGAGAAGCCCTTCTAAACCCCAACCCCTTTGAAACCTCAGTGCTATGTTTCTCAAGCCTAACCATCTCCAGAGACCTGAAAGCACCAAGTAAATCTTGAACCCTGAAAGACTTTATGCGTCAAAAGCATCCTTAAACCCGGACCCCTAAGTCAGTCGAGGCGGAGTTGGCCTCCGAGGCCGAGTCCAGCGTGAGCCGGGGAGACGAACCTGGAGCCGTTGCTCGGCGTACTAGCTATAATGAACAGTAATTGGTTGCAGTGTTGTGAGGATAGTGACCAGCTTAATAGCTCGGAACCGTATAAATCCTAGACCCTTAACATCCATAAGCCATGAACCCTTTAGGCCTAACGGCCTTCATGCTTGGACCAAAACAGAATTAATGGGATCGGGGCTTGATTCAATGTGTTTTTCAAATGTGTAGATCGTTGGTGATTCGTGGCAACCAATCCCCCCGCATCACAGCAATTGCTGACTGCTGCGCCAAGCCCGGCTATGTGCAGCCTCGGGCTATATGCTACTTCGGGTTGCTTTAGCTTTGTGGTTTGACTGCGGACAGCACGTGGTGAGGAAGCAATCTCTGGGCCTTTATGGCCTTGCACTGATGACATTTTGAAATTGCATATTTTGGACTTTCCCGCACTTAATGGCCTTTCAGCCAGACACAGAAAACCTTGGATGGTGGTGGATTGAATTTTACCAACATGACAATGATGCTATTCAAGGCTGTCTGCGAGGAAAGCCAATCATTCAGGCATGTGGCCTTTCGAGCCTCAACGTGATGAGCAGAATAGCGAGGGAAGAGAAGTTTGACGTGTCATGTAGCCCTAGGCAAACAGTTATCTGCTCTTCATGGATGCGTTGTGGCCATCTCGGGTGCGGCTGGTACCGGACAGGTATACAGCTCGATGCTCTCAAGGTTCATTGTGCGCTCTTGAGGAGCATGAAAATACAGGCAACACTTGGTGCTCAACACGCGCATTTCTGGGATTTCTGTGTGGGGAGGTTCAGAAGGCGTTCAAAAGAACACGTTGTCTCTGCCGTTTAAGGGTAAAAATCATGCTTTCCAATGCGTACACTCACAGAGCTCTTTTGTACAGCGATGCAGAGTTTCCTAGTGAGTAGAGTTGCCGTGAGAATTAGAAGCTTTCAGCTTGCATGCTCAGGCCGTGGCATCCATTGCAAGTTAAAGCCTTCGCACTCGCTTCTGTCGGCCCTCGCAGAAACACTTGCTCGTGTTGGCCAGTGCATACAAATGCCGAGTAAGGATCCTGCATGGTCATGGTCACAGTGTTGCGTAGGGGTGGACATGGCAACTGCTACATTATCAGGTCGAGCTCTCGATCAAGCCCTTGTCTTGCTTGTCCTGGGCTCGGACGTGCTCGAACCGCAGCATGCAGCCTGGAGTTGCACAGCAGACCTGCAGGCTTTTGCAGACACAGTTGCTGGTGCTGGCCAATGGATCACGCTCTTGACGCGAACATGTCAGGGAATTCGAGGTGACAAATCAGGCTCGATTCGAAACAAATTGCAGTTACAGCGATCTAGAATCTAGAAAGTTTCGGCTATCTAGCGCTGCAGCTGCTGCGATTACAATCACTTCTACTGCTCTTATTACCACTACCACCACGCCACCACCACCACCACCACCGCCACCGCCACCACGACTGCTACTACTACTGCGAGTACCAACTAGCATTAGTTGTACTAAACGTGCTAGACATACTGGAAGCACTACTAGTACTACTAGTAGTATCAGTACTTGTATTCCTACTCCTACCCCTGCTCCTGGCCCTATGCCTACCCCCCTACCACTACTACTACCACTACTACTACTACTACTACTACTACTACGACGACGACGACTACGACTAGGACGACGACGCCTACTACTACACTACTACTACTACTACTACTACTACTACTACTACTACTACTACTACTACTACTACTACTACTACTACAACTACAACTACTACTACTACTACTACTACTACTACTACTACTACTACTACTACTACTTCCAACCTCTGCTTCTCCTGCTCCTGCTGAAAGATGCTGAAGCTACTGCCGCCGCTGCTACATGCTGCTACTACCAACCACTTCTACTACGCCTACTTCTTCTTCTGCTGCTACTACCAGGACAGACACCCGTAGGAGGACTGGTGCTTTCATTCGTTTCGGACTGAACGCAATCTTAGATTTGAGCACCCTTACCGCGGCTTCGGTTGCCACGAAAAGTGGAATGTGCAAAAAATGGTGCGTTGAGCCTCGTGAAGTGCCGAACGTAGTCGCAGGGCCGACAAGGCAGCTGCGGGTGTCCGAAATCAAAGTAGTTTTTGAAGGTTTGGGATGTTTCTTTTGCTGCGGGCGTCTTACGCATCTTTAAAGCGAAAATGCTGTTTCGGACATGGTCGCGAAAGGCATGGATGCTTGCGACAACGTGTCTTGCTCCGCATCCTTGCGCAGTACGTTGTACAAAGAAGCACACATGCTGTGAATACCAGTGTTTTGGGCATGGTCGCCAGGGCATGATCGCCAAAGGCTGTGACATGAACGTTATGATCACCCTCCCCCACACCACCTATCGTGCAAACTGGCTCCGAAACGCATGAAAACACCAGTCCTCCTATGCGCGGATGTGTTACTGCTGCTACTAGTATAGTACGACTACCGCCGCCGCTGCTATTGCTGCTACTATGACTCGACTACTGCTGCCAGTTTACCCGATTAGGGCTTGGGTTTGTTTTGGCACTCTTGGGTTTTTGGATTTCCGCCGCACGCATTTTTGGTTGGTCACTTGTTGGCATGACTCAGTCACTTTCCCGTCTTGATGCCTTTCCTGTGCACCGTCATACACACAGCGCAAGCAAGCTAGGATAAATCCTGTCGGTGAGTAGGTGAGTGTTGTTGTTGGTTTTGTTGCAGTTGAAGTGCTTTGCAGCTCCACGCCCGCTTCAGTGGTAGTAGCAGCAGCGGCAGTAGGAGTAATTAGCACCAGCAGTAGCAGTAGCAGTCGTCGTCGTACTTCGTTGTTGCAGCTGTCTGTCAGCTTTCGGTGCTTACGACCGAGCTCCACCCAGTCACTCTGTAATTCCTCCAACCAGCTGTATCGGCTACCAAGCTCAGTACGCTGCTAGCCATGACTGGAAAAACCTCGCATGCAGCGTTCCCGGCCTGCGGCAGTCAACTGGCAGTCACTTCGCTCCAGCACGCATTGCGCCGGCAAGGCAGCTTCGAGGTCGTCATAGTATTGAGATTGATTCTCAACGACGACTCCAAAATGGCACAGCTCCCAAAGTAGCACGAAGGCTTGACCTCGAAGACATCACGGTAGCATGTAGGCAACTTCGCGCAGGTAGTTAGGTAGGCAGGCAAATTGGTATCTGATCTAGTACATGCTAGACGCCGGGGATGCAAAGGAGGCAGCGAAGTGTTTTATAAACACCTTGTCTGATATGCGGGATTGTGCAGGCATTTGCTTGGCCACATGGGGGACGGTTGAACTTGGCTTGACGCCGAAACAGCTTGCTGGCTGTCCGTGGCTAGAGTCACCCATCAATGAGCCGGATCAAGGCCTCAAAGGACTCGTTGACTGCTTGCGACTCAGGGTTTAGACTGCAGTAGTCATCTTCTCCTCTCCAAGCGACGTCCAAAGCCTCTCGCTTTGGACGACAAATGTAGAAGCAACAACCACCACTAGGATATAAGAAGCTTTTTTGCAAAAACAACCTGGGAGTGGAAGCTTGTCAAGCGTCCAGGATCAACAAGTTGAACAGACTACAACCAACAACAATACAAACGAAGCAAGGCTGGAGCCGACATTGTGCGCGCCAGAAATACCGGCGCTGGAAAACAGGTTCCAAGCAAGGTTTGTAAGGTCACTGGCACCCGACCGCCATGGACTGCTCGCGGGCGGGGCGGCTGGCGTGGACTCAGGCATCTGAAGAGCACCGAGGACGCCAAGAACTGCAGAACCTGCCATCTCAGGGCGGATGCTTCGGCAGCACAGGCGCTTGTTGTCACAGTGGAGACCACATCTTCGGAGGCACCACTTCCCCTTTGAGGCTTGACACTCCACGCCTACCACCACCTTGCCCTCTTGGCAATCCATCCTTTGTCGTTCCTCGCTGAACCACGTGGTCACCACCGGATCTTCCGTCATGTCCACGACCCACTGCAGCGGTTTAGCACAGTGGATGCGGAGGTTGTCGCAATATTTGCCGTTGCACTCCAGGTGAGTCACGGCCATACCATCAGGGCAGTCGGCCACCTGATCCTCAGCTTGCGTGCCCGTGTTCCAGAACCAGCTTTTGCCAGTGTTGTCCGAGATCCACCCCGACTTCTCAGCTGTCGCAGCATCTATGTAGGAACTCATCTGGACCAAGTTCACAGACTCACAGTATCTCCCAGCACAGCCCATGCCTGTCGAAACCAGATCCGTCTTGGCCATGGCGGTGTCGCTCTTCGATTCAGATGTTACGAAAGTACACACATCGGCCGATATCTCCACGACAAACTGAGGCAAGTTCGCTATCGCTGCGGGCAGTGCAGGTACCGCAAGAACCACCGCAGCCGTCGTCCCCACACTCCAGACCAAGGACCTCACACGAGGGGTTGCAGTCACCCCGAGTGTACGGCGCGCACACCAGCTTCTTGATGGCACACTCGGCCCCGCCGCACTTCATGCCCACAACAACGCTGTCGCCTGGGCACATGCCGTCTCCAGTGCTGTGCACGTAATACGGGAAGCAAGCAGTTTCATCGCTAAGGGGACTGATGCTTCCGGCCTTCGGCATTGCACAGTGCAGGCGGAAGAAGGTCACCTTCATGGCAATCTGTCCACTCTGGCAAATGAGTTCACCGACATCAACCTGAAGCTGTTGGATGGTCACAGTTGTACTGCGCAGTTCGATGTCTTGGCGGTGGCTGAGGCGCATGTTACGGCAGAAGTCGCCGGAGCACCCAACGCCCACCAAGGCTGTCACCGATTTAATGCTTTCGGACTCGGCTTGGTCCTTGAAGTACTGCGACCATGCACCCGCCCGGAAATCTATCATCTTTGTCGTTGTTGTTGTGGTGGCCCACGGTTGACGACTTCGCGGTTGCCGAAGTTGACGATTCTGTGCTTGATGGTTCGGTGGTTGACGGCTCACTGGTGGACAACGTGGTGGTGGGTCCCTGCACTGTGAGACCCACCTCCGTGACCAGAATGTCAGGCGCATACATGCCCACGTTCGACAGGGTTCGTATCAACTGTCCCTTGATGTACTATCTAGGCGTGTTATGTATCGCCCCCTGAACTGTCCCAGCCATATGGACGGTTTCAAGAATGGTGTAGTAGATTATTGTAGCCGCATGTGGGAGCGAGGGAGAGGCCAACCGTCGCTCGCATGGCACCTCCACAGCAATGACTTGCTTTACATCGACAACCACAGCATTGCTTGCCAAACCCCATGCCAGTCCTAGCTTTGCACTGTCGCTGGCCAGCAAAAAACATTCGACACCCGTGACAGTGATAGTACCGTGGATCTCAATCATGGGATAAAGCGTCGTCGTTGTCGTGGAAGTAGTGGTCTGCGGTGTGGGTGTTGTCCCCGGCTCCGGACAGGGCATGAGCTGCCGAATGGGGGAGAAGGGATCATCATTGTAATTGCCATTCTCATGGTCCAAGCGCCTGCAGAGCAGTACATCCACTGTGTCGCGGTATCGGCCGAACCGTGAGCCCTTTACAGTCATCTTCAAGTCGGTCATTATTCGGAGGCCACTTCTGTCCCTGTCCATCAGGATGACGCTGCTGCCCCTGAACACCTGAGGGCCGTCTTCAAAAATGGATGGGCTGTGGGACATGTGCTCGCTGTTCTGTGAACTAGTGTAGGACAACGGAACATTGAAAGCTCGCACGCACCTGGTGAAGGAGTCGGACCTGAGAGGCGTCGTCTTTACTGTCGGCTCCATCGAAGTTGTGTACCTGCAAGTGGTTTCCTCGTTTTGAGCCTTCCAAATACTGGTCGGTTCCGACACTTCCGCGCCAGGAGAGGACGATATAGCCTAGCACGTCCATCTTGTCCCCCGAAGTGGTGTAGGAGGTCATGTCCAACCGGATCTTGACACCGCTCGAGAACTCGTTTCCCATTGCCTTGAGCGTCAGTGCGGTGGAGCCCCCCGAGACGAGAGTGCTCATCGTCAGTTCCTCTGCTGCATAATCCGCAAAGCCGAGCTGCCAGGAGTGTAAGAAATTTTAAATTGTAGCAAACTGTGCCACAGCAGCCGCCAGTAGCTGAGCTGGAGTCAGGGTAATTGCTCCAGTCGACAGCGTGCTCAAGCTTCCAGTTGTGACCAATTGAATGGAGAAACAGTGACGGATAGCCCACGTAGTCATCGCGGTACCAGGAAATGCTGCCTCCAACTGTACCGACGCCGACGCTACTCATCCACGAACGTGGCAACACCAGAAGCTTGAACTCGTTGTTGTCCCACTCGGGTGTGCCACGCAACTGATTCTCCACAAAAACGTAAGTAGCCCAAACATCCGTCGAATCCGGGCAGCCACGGAAAGGGCCGACGACTGTGCCGGAGAAACTGACTGCACCGCGAGAGCAAACGTCCAGCACTTGGCTGAAAGAGCCAGGGGTACTTTCAAAGAAAGCACTCTGCAGGCGGTCCTTTGTTGTCTCGGGCGAGAGGGCTTCTTCACAGGGCTCGTACAAGACGACAACTGCCGTGTTTTTGGCTGCTGCATTCCCGAGCCTCCTTCCACGCCGACTGTCGGTCAGTTGTCCGACGTTGCGCTCGTATTCTATGCTGGAAACCACGAAAACGCTGCGTGTGTCGGACTCTTCGGGTCGGATGTTTGCAGCATAAAGACCCAGCACCAAGTCCTGATCCAACATGCTGGCCTTGAGAGCCCGAGCTTGCGTCGCATCGCCTGCGTATCCAGAGATGTTCGCACTCGCTCCGTCTCGGAGGCCACTCGGCATCATTGTCTCAGCATTGTCATCGGTACCCGGGAAGTACACAGTGACCCTTTGGATCTCACTGTGACCTGGCGGGATGAATGAGACATCCAGGCGTGGGGGCTCCCGCCCGAAGGCGTCCTTTGCAGCCACACGAATGGTGACTGTGTACTGCTGGGATTCACTACCCTGGTCGCTGTCAGGAGCTTGCCAGTACCCTCTCAGAGGCCTACTCCCTTCGGGACAGGCCACACATATCAGCCAAACGGTCGAACTGCCGCCATGAGTCCGGCTGTGCGACAGGGCACCTTCTGCGAGCCCAACGGCTCCGGGTATATATGCTGCTGGCATCTGGAAGTGTATTGCAATACGACCGCCTATTGCAATACTTCCTCGGGTGCTGATGGAAGCTTTGCACTCCAGAACTTCTTGTCGTCCTTGATTGAGGAGAATCAATCGGTCGGTGAAGTCTTGCATTATGTCGCAACTCGCGGCCCTATTGTGCTTCCTGTCAACATGCATGCACGAAGCGGCAACTGCAAACATCAGCCCGCTTTAGGGCAGTGTGGAGAACAACGACATTAATGCAATGTTTCATGTTTGAGTCATAGTCATGGACATTGGATTCATGGCGAGGCATAGAGAGCAGGGAACGAACTAGTTTGGACGAGCAGCGCCGAATTGATTGATCCCGCCTACCACAAACCGTCATGAAACGAAGGCAGTTCCACACGTGGTCCCTCACAGCTACTTGGCCAACTCGCATACGTACCATGAGGCAGCGGCTAAAGCAGGCGTACGACTGTACGAGCATCATGCACACAATTGTGGCTGAGAGACGCAAACAAGTGGCGTGAATCCTGGACTGAGGATGACTGGAGCCTGAGTCCGCAGCATCAGCCGAAGCCTGCAAACAGCGTTGGGAAAGAGGACTCTAAACGACGCATTGGCCGCGTGGACTTCGAGATCTTAACAGCATTGAACCGCACGTTCCTGTGCCGTATTTGCTTTCGTGTGGGAGGTCTCATTACGCTGCCTGACCATGGAATGACCAGATGGTGCAAAATGGGCACCATGTGAAAGCTGTCAGAGCTCGCGGACCGCATGCACGCACATGTTCCGTGAGAAGCAGCAACCGGGAACGTTGCACAACCGGATCAGGCACTGAGGGGGGTGTGCTGGATAGTAGCAAGAGTTCGGCATAAGCCAGCTGGCGGCATGCTGGAATGCAGCATGTTTGTGTGTGTGTGTGTGTGTGTGGACTTCCCTCGCTCATGGGATAAGGGGTCCACGACCTTTTGTCGTGATCATGCATCTTACAATTTCCTTTCCTGAATCACTCGAAGAGGTGCCAGCCTTACAACAGTTCGCAGGGGGACACAGCATGTCACTGGGACTGTGTCCAACGTAGCTACCAGTGACATGGGAAGAGAGGCCTGATCATCCTCTTCTACCTGCGCAGCTGGGGCCCCTGTGCCAGCAAGATTAGACGGCCCCTGCGTCAAGATTAGAGATTCATTTGCAAGCTTGCATCTTTAGGGTTTCACTTCCAGGGAGCAGAGATTTTGGAGCTCAATCGTGCTTGGGTGTCAGGGTCAAAGACACAAGCTCTCAGACTATTAGATGCTCGGCGAGAGTGAAAGCTCGCGCACGCTCTTGCCTTCTACAGGTGGTTTCTGCACATGTGCAGAATTAGTAAGGAGGAGCCAAGGAGGGTGTACTGACCTCATACGACTTCTGACGTAGCTTCCAGCATCTTCCAGCTGTTTGGGGCTCGGCTCTGGCAACTCACACTTGTAGCATCAATTGTCATTCCGCGCGCCTGTCGTCAGACAAAGGCCACCTGTGCAACATCAACTGACCGACGACACTCAGCAACGCGCGGAAGTCCCGACATCTTGAACCCCGGCAGAAGCAAGTGAAACGCCCCGTGCCTAGGCTTCAACTTCGAGACCATAAGGGATATCTTAGATATCTTCCTTCTGCACAGTCTGATGAGGACGCGGTTGCAAATCTAACGCCTCAAAGCCCTCATCTGCGACATCGAGCATTGTCGGTTATCCTTGCAAACCGAAAACTCTAGATAGATTCATCAGTGGCTGCCTTGGCCGTCCCTTTTTGGACCATCGCAAAAATCACAGAATCCGACCATGGAGTGTCGCGGACTCAGAACCTGCCCATTTTTTTGATTACTGTCTGCTGGCTTTCCTGACAACCGGTGTTCAATCAGTCCTGGTAGTACTGGTACGAGTCTTAGCAAGTCGCGGTGCCTGCTGATGAGGTTCTACCGTTTATTTAACTGGCTGTGCGGCTAGGCCTGTGTCCAGAGCAACTCGACACTTGTAGGGGCAGGGATGAAGCTCACCTCATGTACCGTCTACGTCAAATGAGGCTGGCCCGACTTGTGGCCACGGCCACAGGGGCTCTTCACTTCTCCAGGTTGAACCCCTGCATTCTGTGAGACGAATGCCGCCATCAGTTTGACGAGGCGGTTGGAGCCCTTTCGGCTCGAGCCCGGGTCCCGTGGGAGTGCACCTTCTAAGTTCATGCCTGAGCGGGTGTAAATATGCCCTGCATAGCACAGATGTGGAAAAACCAAGGCCCGAAAGATAATTAACGCCAATTGGTGTCCGCACTTCTTGACTTGACCCTGGTGTCTGGCAGCAGTCGGCGGCCATTGACCAGCAGAACTGAAGAACAACATCAATGATATGCATGACAACGTTTCAAGACGGCAAAAGAGCAACACCAAATACCTGACCATTTGGGTGTCTGACTTTGGCAGAGTGTGCCGTCAGAATGCTGACAGCAATCTCGCATTAATGAAGTCTCCTTTCCCCGTTTCTTGGTGCAGCCTGTGATGGCATGGCGATGCATGAAGTGTCTGTGATGCTGGCAACGAGGCGGCTAGCCTCTCAATGCAAAAGGGTGCAGTGGCTTCTTTCTCGTTGCGCGCATGTTCCTTTGAAGCGCATTGTTTTGCTTCGGGCGCTTTGTCTGCAACATGGCTAGAACTAGGTCGCAGTGAAGGTCAATGAAAGCGGTACAATAAGATGGACACGGAACGAATCTCACTACGTTTTCGGCGAAAACCGTGGGAATTCTCTTTGGCGACAGACATGCAGTACTTAGTATAACAGAGTCTTCTACACGTGGTTCAACACGGTCACGCTGTGAGAAAGATATGAGCAACTCCCACACTATGTCTGATTACTCTCACAGTGGCCAGAGTACTTTGAGGACGACATCTCAAGTTTCGATGGACGCATATGCAAGAAATAGTTTTGGCAGCAGCGCCACGAAGCCGGCATTGTAAGCAGCCCTTTCAGACGAAGCATAGGTCCTAGGTTTCCGACATAAACATGACGAACTTGAAGATAGAAGATACAACAATCAGATCCAGACAGGGGGTGGCTTGCATTACTGCGCTGTCCTGCACTCACAAGAATGTACCCCTTTACATACTGGATCCTTCCAGACGAGGATCTGACACCAAGGCGGGAGGCGCATCTAGCAGTTTCTGTAAACATTGCAATATATTTGGTACCACCCCCGAGCCCACACCTGAGCTGCTCAGGTATGAAATCCAACGTGAGTTCTACCATCGGGGTTCGCGTCCATAAGCGACGGTTTCCCTTGTAACCAAAAGACTTCTGCCCTGATTTGTAACCCTGCCGAAATTAGATTGAAAGACGTGAATAATTCCCTATTTCCAATGTTTCCAAAAGTTACCCCGGACGTTTTCGACAATCCTGTATACTAGGTTTGCCAGTTGTGGAATTTTTTCAAGCTTCCAATATTTCCAAACATGCTAAAATTTCCCCAAGGCCACCCTGCTGTTTTCCAAAATCCAGTACACGAACTCAAGAGTTTTTGGAAAGCTGTGCGATATCAGATCAAACTTTCGACATTAGATTTTGGATATTCTAATCTGATCTCAATATTTCAAAAAACTCGCCCCTATGTTTTGGATTATCCTGTGTACTAGGTTTTAGCATTTGGGAAATGATAGACAATTGAAAAAATTTGGAGCCCCCTGAGCTCTTGGAGGATTCAAAACTAGAAAGTTGAACTTTGGAAGCCCCCAAGTCACCAGAAAGTTCGGGGCGAGATCTTGAGGTTTTAACAGTGACAGTTGGAAAACCTAGGCAAGCACCCTGTCGTCGCAGCTCTTTTGGCAGTGTCTTATACAGCCAATGTTAGTTACTATCAACTCCAAAAAGGTTTCCAACTTTTGAGTTCTGGACTGAAAAGTTAGATATGGCAATAGACGAACGCCTACACTATCCAAGCAATGCTCACAAACACCTAGTTGTCAGCGCTAGTACATATTTTCGACAATGCCAGTATGGATGCTGATGTTGTGTTTGTTTGATGATTTCGGGACAAGGCTTGAACGAATAGCAGGCACCGATGTCAAGATACTGCTTTTTGCACATATACTGGATATAAGAAAACAAAATGCCTCAAATCTGATATCTAACCAAGACGTGTTCAACTGCAAAACGATGGCAACCTATGAGCAGTGATGAATTCTGCTAACCAATCGCCGCAGCAATGATAACTAGGTAGATAGTCATACGAGTCGTCGTAGCCCTTGCTGAAGTTTCGAGACAACCGGTGGTTTGATGGAGAAGCAGACAAAACTTAACACGAAAAGTGCCAACGTATTCCATGATGAAGCAAACACAACATTTTGTATGAATGGCAACAGTGTTGTCTGAATCGCATGGGCTTTGTTGCATCCCGCCATGCTGCGCGGTCCCAGCCGAGTCTCGATGCATAATTTCAAGCTTTCCGTTCTAAGCATGAGGTAGGACTTCAAAGGATGCCGCAACCGAAAGCTCTAGCAGTCTAGCAGCCCTGCCTGCTGATCGCAGAGACTAGCTAAGGTGAACTATATAGGTGGCAAGTGAACACTGGTCAATTATTGCCTTAGATCTACATTTGATTTACTGGGCGAATATTTCGACACCAGTCAAGAAAAGCTGAACACTGGCCAATTATCGCAATTTTGTGATTGAATCTCGTTAAATGGTCATTACATACTAGTCGCTGAAACATTCGTTTGTAACTTAAAACAACTTTTTGAGAAGTATGTCAACATCAGCCAGCTTCCGGGTGTGGGTGCATGAGACATCTTACGTACCAGGTAGCTCAGAAACAGAATGCGCATGAATTAGCTACTAGTGCAAACACACTCTTGTCTTAGATGATAAATGGTGAACGTTCTTGTACATAAATCAAGCTGTGACGTGGGAGCGAGACTCTGGCTATTTGACAGGAAGAAATAGGGGAACCATACCAAGACTTTAGACCAATTCATAAAACACGGGATTCCAGGTGGGCAGCACAATTTCACATATGACATATGTATATACTTTCTGCATATCTCATATTCTGTAAATATATTCACATACATCTATACAATAGAATGCCTGTGTGTGGAGCAATCATGTCACGAACTTGTTCGGGATTCGGCTCAACAACATTGAGTCGATACAGCTGTTGCTACTTAATTGTGTAAAGTAAGCACTGATGCCTATGATTCTCTGCATTTACTACGGAAACGAACTGCAAACACCCAATGTCAGTTGCACGGCCACCCCCACTCCGCCTACTACACATTGTTGAAAGATGTACTCGTAGTGCCATATCTAGCTACTCTATATTTGCTAGCAAAGCCAATCTTTAACGGACTCGTTGGCAAATGGCTAATGCTCGCGTGCACACTAAATCCAAAACTCGTCTGGTCAATCGGCTTCAGATACTGCCGCCAATTCCGCACTACCAGCAGGTCCGGAAATGTTGAAACAGGGACAGAACCATGGATTTTCCGTTGATGCTCTTCTTCGTGTGACAGAGAGATATGTGCAGGACCACATGCGCGGATTGTTCGGCTGGCCGAAGATGGTGTGTTCTTCCTTCCTCGAGCGGATTCATGTCGCTTCCTGCCTGCTTGAATGCTTGAATGTCATATACCTGATTCTGGCAATGCCTGCAAGACCTACTACTTTCTACGAGCGCACTCCTACAGTGTCCCGGCAGTTCAACGACGCAGAACCTCCCGTAAGGGTTTGGGTCGGTGCTGCACTTGGCTGGGACTGAAAATTGAAGGATTGAATGCGATCGCCGATATTGGCGATGTGGACACGGATGACTTGAAGGAGCTTCAGGGTCTGAACCGTTGCAATGGGCATGTCCAGCAGGCAAAGGTTCAGCAGCCCTTCAACAAACTCAGCCTGGCTGAGTGTTCCTGTTCCATCCACATCCAAATACTCGAAGAGCTCTTCCCAGCTGTCAGCGCAAACTGCTTGCAAGACTTTGGGCGGCAGCACATCAACAGGCACATGCCGAAGCCTGAGCAACTGCCATACCATGATGCAGCAGTTGAGTCGACTTAATACTTTAAGGTATGCTTCGACAGGCGAAAGTTAATTCCAGCCTCTCTGTTCATGTTACTAGAAAGCCGGAAACAATTGAAGTTAGCCGGGAAAGCAAAGACCACAAATTCTACGAGTTTTGCGATCGAACCGGGGCATGAACCCAGCCCAAGGGCTCCTCCTGCGTAACATTGCCGCTGTTGTCCTTGTCCAGCGTTTGGAATATCCTTACCAAAGTGGGCATCGCCTCTCGGACCTTCGCCTCGGTACCCATCCGGAAGGAAACCCAGTGGCCCAAAAATCCCACAAGCCGTCTCGAACGCAATAGATCAAACAAGGTCTTTTGTGGCCGAGGTGCCTTCAACTGAAGCTTGTGCTCCTCCTCCTGCTCGGCATGGTGCTTCATGGCGTTTTCGACCAAGGCCGCTGTCACCTAGCTGCGTCTCGAAGCCATGTTTAGGGGCTGTTGAGCGGTCTCCGAATCTCCCAGTTCCTGTGATTAAAGTCAGCCAGCCTGAAAGGAAGGGCTTCAGAAAAACAGCAACAACGTTTTGCTGGATGCATGTCGTCACCAAGTTCATGAGGCCGATCGAAATGAAAATCAGAAGCGGCAGGAAGAACAAGACCAAGTAAGGGCGTGCCTCAATAAGTGGAAAGTAGATGGTGGCCAAGGAGTCCATAGTCACGAACTGCATCAATGTCATGACGGCAACCAGCAAGCTGCTGAAGTACTCGTCGATCACAAACATCGTGAGCTGATCGTATTTTCTCAGGTCCTCGTCCTTCGCGATTACCTCCACCGCGACACAAGCCGCAACAAAGAGACACACCAGGAGAAGCAGCGTGACAGCGAGAATTGTTTCAGCAGACGTGAGAAGACCGTGCACGAGGCGCCACATGATCTTAAAGTGGCCTCAGGCAAACTTCGCGGGGGGACAAAGAAAAGCTGGCTTTCAGGACTCACATTCCTCAACATTTACTCCAAGGCATGGATTGCCAGCCCAGTGTCTCACCATCCTCAAAGCCCTCAGCAACCTCAGCAATCGTAAGCCTCGTACCTGGGTCGCTGTTGGGCTTCCATACATTTATGCAGGGCTTGCGTCAGATGCAGCTATGCATCCTGCTAGAACTTCTTTTGTATCCCTCCGATATATGGTCTGTCCGAGCCCGGTTAGCGACCCCACGGCATCCAAACTAGGGTGCAATCAAGAGCTTCTCCACGGATTGCAGCTCGCTTGCGCCAAAGCTGGGCACGACAAGCAGGGTCAGCAGACCGATGCAGACCAGGCTTGCCTGAGGCATGGACAGACGCAGCCAGACAGTGACAGGGACAAAACCATATACATATATATATATGCTCACCCCCCCCCCGTTGACAGACCGCGGGTCTAAAAAACACCGTGCACGACGATATTCTATGAAGCAAAACCTTTACATGAGGTACATAGTATAGCACCAGACGTGCGGCACATGAGTTACGTAACAGTCTTGTGGTAGTATCGGTATTAGGGTGAGTATTATTATTAATATTAGTACTATTGTTTGCTGTAAGTATACGTATCAATATTGCCAACTATAAATTAGTGTTAGTGCTCATGTTCGTGTTAGAGTTAGCGCTAGTGCCAGTGTCAATGTCAGTAATACAGCACCACTGCTACGAGTAGTATCAGTATCAGTCTTAATGCTGGGTTTAACAGCAGCTTATATTCGCAGAAGTGCTAGTATTAGTATCAATATTAGAACTAGTTAGTTTGGATATGTTAGTATATTGATAGTCTCGTATATTAGCAGATGAGTATATCAGTACATCAATGTATTCGAACAGTAAAATATTTGCATACTTGTATACTAGTATATTTTACATGTTAGTACAACTGGTGCATGAATACACTACTATACTGCTGTACTAGCTTACTAGTATATTGACATACCAGTATATTCGAACGTTAGCATATTAGTGTACGAGTATGTGTACTATATGACTGTTTTATCTAATCATTTATAAGTATATCAGTATGTTGGCATATTGGTATACGAACTTGTCATGTCGGTATTCTTGCATAGTGCAGTAGCCGTATATGAGTACAGTCACATATTCGTGTAGTATACTCATACAACAACGAGAGGTATATTGATACATTGGTATATGGGCATATGCCTATGCCAAAGCATTAATACATGAATGCACTGACGTATATATCTGTATCTTAAGATAGTGGTATGTATTTTATGTACATTAGTATATGCAGGTGTCTATTAGTAATGATATTAGTCATCATATCAATATGAATATACTATTGGTGTTCGTAGCAGTATTAATGTCAATATTATTAGAAATAGGACTATTTATACTCGTAATAGCCATAATATGAGTGTTCATGCTGGTAATACTAGTGGCATTCTTGAATATTCAGCAGATTATCAAAGTCCGTACTAGTGTTGGTGATAGCATCACTGTTAACGCACAAGAGTTTACGTACTCGTATTCGTAGGAGTATCAATAGCTATGTAAATATTGATGTTAGTATAAATTTTGTGTGAAGTATTAGCAGTAGTGTTAGCTGTATTTTATGTACATTAGTATAAGCAGGTGTCCATTAGTAATGATATTAGTTTTCATATCAATATGAATATACTATTGGTATTCGTAGCAGTATTAATGTCAATATTATTAGAAATAGGACTATTTATACTCGTAATAGCCATAATATGGGTGTTCATGCTGGTAATACTAGTGGCATTCTTGAATATTCAGCAGATTATCAAAGTCCGTATTAGTGTTGGTGATAGCACTACTGTTAACGCACAAGAGTTTACGTATTCGTATTCGTAGGAGTATCAATAGCTATGTAAATATTGATGTTAGTATAAATTTTGTGTTAAGTATTAGCAGTAGTGTTAGCGTTAGTACTATAATATTATTGATGATATACATTCGAAAGAATGTTTGTATATTATTACTCTTGATCACGTGAAATTCTAACAGTTGAATACATGAGTGAGTTAAAGGATTTGTATTTTAATATGGTGGTATGCATGTTTATGTACATTAGTACATACAGGTGTGTGTTAGTATTGGTATTAATATACATTATTATCAACATGAATATGGTTATTGATATGCGTAGGAGTAATAAGAGCAATACTAATCAATCTTAGTATTTGTGTTATGCATATTCGTACTAAGCTTTATAGAAGTGTAATATTAGTAGTAATGCTGGTATTAGCTTGAGCATTCAACAAATGATCACTGTCAGTATTTCCAATGGCAATACTATATGTAGGAGTATCAATACATATATGTATATACAGATAGACAGGTAGATTGAGAGATATTCGTTTAAATATGGGCATGAGTATTGACAGCCCTTGCCTTTGCAAGTAAGTCGTGCATGGTCTGTCATCGGATGGGTCACAATCAGCCCTCCTGAGAATCAATTCCAAGGTCCAGAGATTCCAAAATTTCCAAAAGTTCCAAAACTTCCAAAATTTCCGAAATTTCCAAAATTTCCAAAATTTCCAAAATTTCCAAAATTTCCAAAATTTCAAAAATTTCCAAAATTTCCAAAATTTCCAAAATTTCCAAAATTTCCGAAATTTCCAAAATTTCCAAAATTTCCAAAAAGTCCGCCCGGCCGTTTTGGAAATTTTGGAAATTTTGGAAATTTCGGAAATTTTGGAAATTTTGGAAATTTTGGAAATTTTGGAAATCCGGAAAGTTAAGGGAGAGAATTTTGGAAATTTTGGAAATTTTGGAATTGAGTTTTTGAAAGCTGAGTACCCCCTCCCCCGATCACAGACCATGCACTACGACTGAGTTGAAAGGGCATGGTCTGTCAACGAGTCTTTTGGTGGTTCCACAGATACGTTCGGAGGGCTCAAACTCGATACCCCGGAAAAAGCACGAACACACCGGTGGGAGCGATGTTTTGAAGGGGATGGTCTGTCAACGGGGGGGGGGTGACCATATATATATATATATACATATATGCATGCTACCCCCAAAACCTGCCTCGAAGCCTGTTCTTTCTTGTACGGTCGAGACGGCTTGACGATTCCACGCCGAACAAAACGTCTTGTATTGAGTAGTATTCTCTGTCTACGACGACACAACACCCTTCGAACCGAGACAATACCACGAAGTATTGTTTAATGTCCTCTGTATGCTATGCGGCTATGCTATGAAACGGCGGGGTCCTCCTGATGTTCTTTTTTTAAACAGTGATCTATAGGGTATTCCAAGTTATTGTTATTGGTATCCGAAAAGGCATTCTAGAGGATATTCTATGAGGCATATTTGAGGTATGCGGAGGATTCTACATACGCGGTCTTCTGCAAGGATGGTGTTAAGTACTCTATTGGGTACTCCATAAGGTATTGTACAAACGGTATTCTGTAGCCTATATTTAGGAAAGTATTCTATAGCGTGTTTTATATGAAATGAAATTCTTTGAGGTGCATGGAGAGGGTATTTTATAAGGTAGTTGTAAGGATATTCTTCCTGGTCCCTGAATTTTCATAGGAATCTCTTTCCCAAAAGCTGGAATTGAACTGGAAATTCTCATATCTTGGACTCCGGCTGGCTTTCCATATTTAGAAGCCTTATCTATAGGGTACTTTTTAGGTATTCTAGAAAGGATTCTAACGGATATCCTAAAAGTTACTGTATAAGTATTCTATATGGCATACATAAGTTATACAGTAAGTTATACAATATGTATCAAACAGAGGCGGTCTTCTTCGAAGTACTCTGCAAGGTATTACAGATGGTATTCTATAAGATGTATGTAGGGTAAATAAATCGTTGGAGTTCTATAAAAAAATTCTATACAGTAGTTTAAAAGGTATTCTGTGGGGTATGTACAGCGTGCATTAATTTGATAAGAGCTGTTCTCCGTATGTATCCGTTACTAGATAAGCATCGACTTTTCAAGGAGTTCCTGAATACTAGATTCCGCTTTCCTCCGTATGAATCACGAATCCCTTGCCAAATAAATAAACACTACTGAAGAAATCTCAGATCTTGGGTATACCAGGTATATAGGGAATATAGGAGTACTCGAAAAGTATTACCGTATTTTGTATGAATTTCTTTAAAATTTGTAAACAGAAGTATTCTGTATTCTGTAAGGTATTCCACAGGCTCTTTTCCTGTATTCCTCATTCTGCTCATAGATGTCTGCAGCTAAATAAGCTGCAAAAGACTTGGGCTCTTCCTGATTTTTCCTACATAAATCCTGATCTATAGGGTTTATGTCAAGTATCCCACAGGGGATTTTCCAAGCTTTTTTGTAAGACATTCTAGAAAGTATTCCAGATGGTGTTCTACAAGGCTTATATAGGGTATGTAGCAGAAAAACAGGTACTATATGGGGCATGCTCCAGGGTATCTATAGGGTATCCCAAAAGGAAGACGTATTCGGGTGTATATATAGAAAAGAATTCCATAAGGTATTGTAGAAGCTAAAGGGTAGTCCATAAGGTATATACAAGGTATATACTTTAGAAACTATGTGGTACGTCCTAGGCTATTTTCTGTGAAATTCTGGAAGGTATACAGGGGGTATTCCATAAAAGATACTTATCTGTGAAGTATTGAATAGTATTCTATAAATGGGGTCCAAAAAGTATCCCATAAGGTATTTGTTAGGGTGTGTATTGACAGGTTGTATCATACATGGTGCCCTCGATGTTTACCAGGGAGGGGCGCGTCGACATGATCACAAGGACAGGGTGGAGTTAGGAGTACAGGAGCACTTGCTTTTGATCAGCTGCAGGTTGGGGTATCAGACATATATTGTCACAAAACCAATCCGTCATGCACAGCAATCCGTTCCCTCATTCGATATAGAACATGATAGCAAGCAACAGTCATGGTTCCCACTGGCCTGTCTGCGTTAAAACCAGAATTGAAAAATTACAGCTTCATGCAACCAGGCCCGTGGAACCAAGAACCAGGATGTCCACGTTGAATTTTGGATCTTGGTTACGCAGGCTCGGCTGCATTAAAGCCCGCAATAAAAAAACTTTAAAGCTTAATGCAACCACACCCGTGGAACCAAGAACCAAGATGCCAAGGACTCTTGAAGCTTGGATCTTGGTTCCGCACTCCCGGCTGCATTAAAGCCAGCATGAAAAAATTAAGGCTTAATGCTACCCGGCCCGTGGAACCAAGAACCTAGATGCCCAGGACTCTTGAATCTTGGATCTTGGTTCCACGGGCCTAGTTGCAGTAGTCCTTAATTTCTGAATGCAGATTTCAATGCAGCCCGGCCTGCGGAACCAAGACCCCAGATTCAAGAGTCCTGGGCATGTTGGTTCTTGGTTCCAGGGCCTGGTTGCATTAAGCTTTAACTTTTTAATGCGGGTTTCAATGCAGCCAGGCCTCCAGTGAATTCTGCAGGGCATGATCCTGCATACCCAGTTCCTTTCGGATTATGTAGCAATGTTCGCATACACCAATCCATGTGCATGTGTGTGTGTGTGGGGACCCCAAACAAACTACAACGGGACAGACGACTTCAGCAACACAGACGATTTCAGTGCAGGGGGTATGGCGCTTGTGCTCTTAGCCATACCAACGAAGCTATAGAGCACAGGTGGAAGGGAATGCAGACGTGCACTCCTGTACCTGCAGAGATTGGCATGGGCGATGATCAATCGCAGCTTGCAATCTCACTGTCGCTTGAGTTCTTATTGCAAGTTTGCGTGGTACATGTTGCAGGTTCCAGGTGTCCCTTGGCTTTATGTTTTGCTGCGTTTTGACCTTCGCAACAAGGTAACCATGAGCCTTTTGAGAGACCCCATCAACACTTTTCTCCTTTTGAAGTATCTCATCGGAGTCTTGAACTCAGTGATGAGTGAGATTGACCACGAATGAACATTCTACCAGGGAAGCCTGGGTGTTCGAGTGTGAAATGGGCATGGCCTTATCCGTCACGGCGCCATTACCGCTGCTCTCGAGGCAGTATCCCTTGAAATAGTGCCCCGAGTGGGACGGGTGATTCTTGGCTAGGTTCGCAACAGGCCCCCAACCACAAACAGATCGGAAAGTATATACTGAGGACGGAAAGTGTCGATCTTGAAATTTTTGTTGAGATGAATTCATCTTGAATTCATTCTTGAAGACCATGTTGAGCTTTGCGTAACTCGTCTAACGCGCTAGGGGTAACACGGCTAGCGCACAAGAGCCTGGGCTTTTATTAAGTTTTCTTTTTTATTAAGTTTTCTTTTTTAAGTTTTCTTCTTTCTTAAGTTTTCTTTTTGGTCTTTTTCCCTAGGCCCCTAAGCCCCTAAGTGTGATGCTCTGAACCTTGGCTGCATTCATCAAAATTTTGCGCTCTTCCTTTTCTTTTCTTTTCTTTTTCCCCTAAGCCTCTTTTTCCCCTAAGCCCCTAATGTACTGTTGTGAGCCTTGGCTGCACTTATCATCTTTTGTGTTTTCCTTTGTTTTCGTTTTCCCTTTGCTATTTTGCGTGCTGTTCTTAACCTTGGGTGGGCTCTTTTTCGTTTGTGCTTCCGGCTGCAACAGTTAGTCCCTCCGAAGGAGGTTAGTGTGTGTGGGGACCCCAAACTACAACGGGACAGACGACTTCAGCAACACAGACGATTTCAGTGCAGGGGGTATGGCGCTTGTGCTCTTAGCCATACCAACGAAGCTATAGAGCACAGGTGGAAGGGAATGCAGACGTGCACTCCTGTACCTGCAGAGATTGGCATGGGCGATGATTAATCGCAGCTTGCAATCTCACTGTCGCTTGAGTTCTTATTGCAAGTTTGCGTGGTACATGTTGCAGGTTCCAGGTGTCCCTTGGCTTTATGTTCTGCTGCGTTTTGACCTTCGCAACAAGGTAACCATGAGCCTTTTGAGAGACCCCATCAACACTTTTCTCCTTTTGAAGTTTCTCATCGGAGTCTTGAACTCAGTGATGAGTGAGATTGACCACGAATGAACATTCTACCAGGGAAGCCTGGGTGTTCGAGTGTGTGTGTGTGTGTGTGTGTGTGTATGTGTGTGTGTGTGACAACCCTGTATCCAAGGGCCTTCTCCTCACGCTCTGCAGCCGTTTACTACTTGCGATTTACATATAACCGAACTTGAGTACAGAGTACACAGCAGGGGGTGGCAGCAGGGTCCAGAGTCTGCCACCAACGAAGACACTCTGGATACCCTGGTGAAGCACGGTCTGATCAACCGTGTGTACCTGCCGTTTGTGACATCGTATATCATCTTCGCTGTACATTGGTTTTACTTGGCTATTATTATTCTGGTTGCGCTTCTCTGGATATGGCATGGGGCTAAGCCAAGAACCCCGCTCAGTCGTTCTCCTGCAGCTGTGGTATAACTTCAGAAACAGTCAGTGCTTGAGTTCATGTCGTCTGGTACGCGCTGGTTTCTGGATGGCCTGGGGCTAAGCCGAGAACCCCGTTTAGCGAGTACACATGCATGCATTGCTCAGTGCCAGTGTCCACCTCCTCAGTCCTTGCCGTGTCCTTCGGTGCGTTGGGGGTTCAGGCTGGCGTTGTGGTTTAGTTAGGCAGGTTGAGGTGTCAACCACAGACTTTCTGCACTTCCTCTTTGCAGTTGCTGTCCATGAAGCTACCAGTCCGAAGTCTCTGATGTGTGGTCGCTTGAGACCTGGACATCAGGTGGTCCGTCGCATGCCGAAACCTTCCTTAGCATTCAGTGTGTGTGTGTGTGTGTGTGTGCGTGCGTGCCTGTGTACTGTGTACTGACGTGCGATAGCATACGGATATGTACACAAACAGGTTTGGAGGTGGTTTTTTGGGGGGTACCATATATATATATATACAGGTACATAGGAACATATGTACAACATGTACTTTCTATGTATCTCTGTATCTGTGCATAATTTATATATGTACATATAAGATACATGTACATCATGACGTATCGTGTTCCCTATCTCAGCAGCAACGGCCAGCTGACCAATCCGATTTTGCCTGCTTTCCATACCGACATAACTTTAACTTCACAGTGCCGCTTCGACTCCTTCGGCGCATGTGTGCCAAACCAAGCATCAGTCAACAAAATGGAAACGCAATGCAAGGCTGGGCGCATCCATGAGGAACCAGCCATCTCTGCAAGCGGACCAACCTGAGCTGCTTCCGGCGCTGAGAGCTCCAAACAGTTCTTGCAACCTGTCTGTCGTGGCTTTCGACGGAAAACGAGGAAAGTCGTGTCTATCTGCAACTCAAGAACCACTTGCCAATGCACGCACGACCGCCTCCACGAAGTAAACAGCCAAGAACAAGCGTTCCACAAGATACGGCCATGACTCTGCACCGAACTCCTCGCCTGGATCAAGGCCATGCATCTCCCAAAAAACCTTGCTATCTGTCGCTCTCGTGCACTCTGGGATGCTACCCACAAGGCGCCCGAACAGAACTTCCATGCGAACAAGTCTTCGAATCCGGCCGCTTCTTTAGGGTCTAGTTGAGTCTATTTCCTGCTGTTACAAGCTGCAAGTTCCTGAAATCCCTAGCCGAAGCCCTTGGAGCGCCTCTTTCCAAGGACAGCTCGGCCTCTACACCGATGGTCGCAAGATTCAGCATGATAACAAAACCAGACGCATACCTCGGCTGTGTCTCTTGTCAGCTAGTCCCTTCATGATGCCGTTCCCGGACCTGGATCCGATAAGTTTGGACACAGGCCTACACTGTAATTTGCCGGGCTGTTAACCAGCACTGACGGGAGCTCGATTCTAAGATTTTGCAATACATCGGTAATTAACTGACTGTACGAAGAAACACACCACAGGTTTTGCTCCGAGAAGCTCGAACCAACTGGAGTTGGCAATCTTTGCAGCTTTTCTTTGGAATTCTGTCCACGTGTCACCTTCCGGTGGAGCCTCGCTCTTTGCGTTTGTGGCCATTTCCTCCAAGACAATGCTATTCAGGGTCGGCTGGCCATCTTTCGGGACAACGGTTTTTCTTGTCCGGAAAATCTCTTCCAAGGCATTGCGCGATGACAGACGGCTTGCTCCCCTGTAGAACGGTCTATTGTCGTGCGCAGTAACCTCTTCTTGCTCGTCAAACTTCTTGCGAGCATCATGCAGGCTTGCATCCACTTCACTTGTTTCAACTTCTTCGTTCTCGTCCAGGTTTCCGCTGTCCCCACATGACCGGAGGAGGGGAGCAGAGACCTGCATAGGCATGCTGGCATTTCCTTTCGAGTGGGTCTCGGTCTCGTTGCTGCGGTCATGCTGTTCCGCAAATGCAAAGCTTACTTCCGGCGAAGGCCTGGCACTTTCTGGTACCTCGCGCAGTCGACGGTCAATCCGTCCAAGGAGTTCTGCGACATGGCTTTGCCAGTGTCGGTGTTGTGCTTCCAAAGCTGCAATGCCGTTCACCGACGCCAACTGCTGGGCCTTGACTGAAGCCAACTGCTCCAAGGCGTCGGAAACTGAGGGATCCATCGCATACTCCATGCTTGACAGAAAAACTGCGGGCATCAAGCATGCAGAAACAAATCCTCCCACCCGCCCATCTGACACTGTCGCACCACGGGGAATGTCCGGTCGAACTGAAATTCGCTGTTGGAAGTCCTAGGGGGCCTTTAACTCCTCAACTCAAGCCTGTGAGAAACAGCAGTGCAGCATAATGCATTGACCCGTCTGCCCCAAGCGAACCGAGAAACAAAGCAATCTTCTGCAATGCTGCAAGCGGGTGGGAGGCACACTTGAGACAGCCCCGGTGGAACCCGAGACCCTTTTCGAGCCAATGTTTTATTGTGCCTGAATGCAGATCCGAATATCCAGCAAGACTGTGCTGCCCGATTTGCCTTCCCCACACACAGGTCCTCTGTCCGATTCTACTCGGAGGCCCTGTCCACCTCTTCCCAGAAGCCATGAACGGCATCCTCAAATGACCCGGCCTGCTGGCAAGCTGGTGTAGCATCCAGCCGAGTCCAGCCCCTATCAGGACCTATCAGCTGAATCTGCCATGCCATGCCTTGAATTGGGGGATGTTGTTGTGGCGAGGTCTCTGAAGGACTAGCCAGTCTTGCGCTGCAAAATTCGCGCGCTTTTTGAATGCTTGCTGACTGTGCTGACTGCCGAAGCGGCTTTTGCTGTTGCCTGCGAAGCGGTGAAAAGCCAAGTTTGGCAATGTGAATAGGCGACGAATGTCCACATGTCGATGCCAAAATGCGAAACAAGACCCCGAACCCCAAGTACGCAAGCCGCAAGAAGCCGAGATGCTTCCATGCCGGTGGTAACAGAGTGCAGCCTGCTGTGCGGATGCTGATGATGACACTCGCTATTCCACGATGTCCCGGAATGCGCCCCCGCCCACCTCCGGCGAAAAGCTGTCAAAGAGACTGCACAATGCAGGTTTCCTTTTTAAGGCGGCTGAGCAATAAGTGTCCAAGCCGATCAGGGCTGCATCTCGACCTGCACGACGACAGGGCCCGCAAACACTACCGCAGCAACGAACAAGCACTGTATGCCGTGCTGGAAGCCAAACATGCTGCTTGTTGCCGGCGCCTTGATAATGTTTCCATCCAGTGTCCCTTCGCTGAACAGTTCAACGGCCTGTCTGCCGAACATGAGTACACCATGCCGCGTTGACACATGTCTCGCAGCCGGAATCAGCTAGAACAGTGTTGTGATGTTCAAGTTAAGCTGCAGGGTTGGCCCTGGCTGAAACTGCGACATATGTGCTCAGCTTGAGCTGAGCTGGGTGGCATGAAATGGCACGAATGCACGTTCTGCATCCTCGCGAAACAATCTCTCCCGGTCATGTCCTTAAAGACTGCAGGCCAGATGCCGACCTGCACGACTCCGGATCTGGAGCTGAGGCCCTACACGCCAAAAGTTCTTGCAGATTTTGAGTTGCGACTTGCCATACAGGTCTTGCGCAAGACAAAAGGCAAGGAGTTTGATTGCATACAGCGCTGGCAAAGAGACCTCTCGTTGGGCAAAGCGAAGTCTGTATGAACTGGTTGCATACAGTGCGCCAGCGGACACACTTTTCTTCAGTACCCTAAGCAACTGGCCACACAAATCCAGTCTGGAACTGGCACCGGACTGTGCTGAAGGAATACCGCATATCATCGCGGCAAGTATATGCTAGTATGCTACCAATCGCCGGGCCATAAATCAAACGAGCGGGCCTTCGCAGCTTCCTGACTGTGATCGAATGTTAGCCAGGCGCACCCTCGCCTCAGCATGCGACGAACCACCTCATTTGCATACATCATGCTGCATGTACGGAATGGCAATGATTAAACCTTTATCGGAGTCTGCTATGGCTTGTAGACCTGGCCGGTTTCGGGTGGTGCGGATGTTGCTTGGATCCTTTGTGAAAAGTGTGGATGTTGCCTGCTGCCCTGTGACCAGGGTCTGGAACGGTCTTCGACAATGACTAAGGTCGCACCGCCAACCGTTCCTGACCTTGCCCCCATCGGCTGCCAGAAGCCCCCATCCAACACCCAACACAACGAGGTTGAATGCTTCGTGAACTTTGCAAGGAACCCTGCCTGGCTACCCATGCTTTCGATCCTCAATCGCCTTGGTGTCTCACGAGTTCAAGCCTGGAGTTGTTCTCTGATCTTCTGTCTGCTGCACTCGGGTTTCTCGGAGGCTCGTTTCAGCACATGCTCGTCTAAAGATTTCTCAAAAGCTGGCTACGGGGTTTCTGAAGCGCTTGTTAGCAGCCTTACAGGGCCTTCCTAATGCTCCTGGGGGAAGGTGCCAACGATCTCCGTTCTCTAAGCATCTCCGCGCACATAGACCATGAGTCCTTGCCTAGCTTTCTGTGAACTCGAAAATTTTGCCTTTCTGAGCCGAACATGGAATCGATGACGAAGAAGGCTCGAGCTTGAAAGTGTGCAGCATTGATGTACACTGTATGGCTTAGATTTATTGGCCAAGATTCTGAAGCAGATCACCTGCAGCTTTGGGCTTTTGGCTTTGGGAAGGACGAAGCGACAGCGACACAGACGAGCCCAAGAGATGAAGAGATCCTTGTCTCGAGGGCCTACTGGCTGAACGAATAGTTCCATCCCGAGAATCCACAACCGCTAACCAACACAATCATTCTTTGATCAGATACTTCACACCAAAAGTAGTTGTGTCGAGAGTTGCCCCAAAAGAATTGACTTTCGCGGAGCCATCGCGGAACTTGCGTAGGAGTTGGGTGCAGGACGGCAGCGTGATGATGGCATAAGATCAAACCCCCCGGTGCATCTCAACACATGTTGCTCGAGCACTGCGCGACATTATTCAACAAGTATATACTCAACAGAAGAACCGTCAGCTGCTGTAGCTTGGCAAAATGCACAGGCAACGTTGCACTGCACTGTGAAAGATTCGGCTTGGCAAGGGCACCAAACATTGCCTAGCTCTTCAACAATCTTGCGCCATGCGACCAAACAAAACTTCTGCGACGGGCGAACTCGATCAACTTATCAGCAGCAGTGCGGATCTGCCCCTCTAACCTAGCTAGGCGGCTCGAGTTGGAAGCCTCGAAGCCAAGTCTTTTGTGTATTATCTTGCACTGCTCCCGTGACACGGAACCAATACATCACAGCTACATTCGCGGCCTGTGGATGTCTGAGGACAAGACTCGCCCACACTGGCAACAACCTAGCTGAAGCACGGAGCGCCCGGCTTTTCCCGCAAAGCTCTCAGATCAAAGCCTTTCCAGTGCCCTTTTCGAAGAGTTCCTGGGCGTCTCAGCTGTCCAACTGACCAATCCTTCGACCGTCAAGCCTCAAAGCACTGACAGACAGCAACTGAACTCTCACCGGATGTCTGTCAGATGTTTCATGGAGACGGAGGGCGGAATGTTGGAAATCTTGATCATCCTGCCAACAGAGGCTCTAAGGAAAAGGCAGTCAATCCAATCCTGTCCTCGACGTGGATGACGATCTCTTTCGCCTTCTCCCGACAACCTGTCCGAGCTCTTGCCAACCCGCCCATAGGTACAAGCTGTGGTGCTGTGCACCTCCGCCGGACTATCCGTCCGGGGTGCAGCTGCGCGGCTTGCACCTGAGCACCATCTGCTGCATCCCACAAGATGCATTGAGCTCCATGCTTCAGTTCACTTGACTTGTTTGTTGGATGCCTGGGTTTGTGAGGGGATACCTCGTCGGCTTCAAGCACCATGGGCAAGTGCAGCACAGTGTCCTGCAGAGAGTTTCATTAGCCGAAGCTGGGCAAGTAACACCGAAAAGCCAGCAGACCAGTGACCAGAGAGTGTGTTTATTGTTGTCGTGGTGTTGGAAAGGTGAAGAGCACTGTGCAGCTGGAGATCAAGTGTCTGGAAGCATTGGCACGGAGCAGGCAATGAAGCAGTTGGCGAGCATGCTGCCGGATGGACGAGCGAAAACACCAACACCAACACACACACACACACACACACAGACACACACACACACACACGCACAGACACACAGAGACACACATACACACACACACACACAGACACACACACACACACAGACACACCACGCAGACACACACACACACACAGAGACACACAGAGACACACAGACACACACACACAGACACACACACAGACACACACACGCACGCAGACACACAGACACACACACACACACAGACACACACAGACACACAGACACACACACACAGACACAGACACACACACACACACACACACATACATGCACGAGCACACGACACACCGCTTTCTTATCAAATCAATTTTCGCAGGCGCGCAGCTCAAAGCAGCGAGTCAACTGCGGAACAACCACGCCAAACTCGTAGTCTGCGCTTTGTGACCGGTGCCATCCCTACCGCGAGCAATTGGAGGCCACGACCACGCCAGCAACCGCGTGAAACAGCTGCTTCCTCACTGATGAGCTTTCGTTGACTGAAGCCCAAACGGAGCCGCATTAGGAATTCATTGATACAACTCACACCGTTGGTGGCAGGGTCCGGCTCCATAAAGGACTCCAGCGGGCCATCCTCGGTTGAGCAGGCCACAACGCCGGCAACAATTGGGATGTCCTCTGACCACAAGACAGAGGTCGCTGCTGGCAATCTTCGCCATTTTTCTTTGAAGGTGCCTGCATCACCTGACGAATGGGCAAATGATGGGAAGCATCGTACTTGTTGAGCAAACGAAAACATCGACAAGGTAATAGCGTTCTGTCCAGGACAGCCCGAAGGATGGGAGCTGCAACAAGTGACAGCATCACGGCGCAATTTGCACTGGCGAACCGCATGCCGCTGAATTAACCTAGAACACCGATGAGGTTCAAGTCGAGCGAAACATTGCCGCGACCACTAACACTACTGGACTTACTACTACTACTACTACTGCTACCACTACTGCTACTACTACTACTACTACTAGTACTACTACTACTACTACTACTACTACTACTACTACTACTACTACTACTACTACAACTACTGCTACCTGCTGCTGCTGCTACCGCTACAACAACAACTACTAC